GCGCTCGCTCTTTATCCAGCGAGTGGCTGAGATTGCTAACTAAAATTGCTTTAGGAAGCTATCCATTTGGTATCAATCAAGTGGGCCTGTAGGACCAAACCTCGCCCGGACTCAATCTGGTCTGCGGTGCAGCCCCTGGTACTACGTATTCCACTGGAAAGCATGTGCAGGAGCAACTGTTGCATCCCACGCAAAAACGCCGCCTAATGTGACGATAGCTGGTAATCGATCAATAAGACGCCCTAAAACTTAACTCGGAGACCGAACGTAGTCACTGCTAACAGGAAAACCGATAGTCTCTTCACTGAGCACATCAGTCGTCACAATGACATTTCCCCGGATAGTGGCTCCGTAAAGCAGCGCGTCTGCCTATTGCACACGGCGTCCAGCGTGTTCCTAGTCAGATGGTGCGGCCTTGTCCACAGTCGGAGACTGTCGCAAACGGCCGCCGGAATTCCACTGTCCCACCTTCTTCTGCCAATCAAGGAAACTCCGACATATGTGTAAGGACTCTAATTTGTTGAATCAACAATGGGTGAGGACGTGTGAACCCAGCAGTCAACTCCCATCTAACCACAGCGTCCCACGCGACTCTTTAGGCGAACAAGGTGCGGCAACTGCCCTATCACAAGCGAATCGTGTACTACTTGCATGGAAACCAATGACCGGATGGACTACGTGAGACTGAAGGTTTACTCCACGAACATCTTGGTCATCTCCCTGTGTGCATCAAAAGCCGGTGTCCAACAGCGCGATAAATGGACCAACTCGCAGATACTAGCATCAATTGACTCTTGCTGTGATCTGCCTATTGTTACCAGGATCTGTAGTAGCCGGACCGGACCTTACGACCCCTCAGTCACTTAATCAGCCGTTCTAGGCTTGGCTCGAGACTCAGCAGCGGTGATAACTGAATTTTGTTAATAGGGACCGAACGTTCGTCATCAACACGTTTCTGGCAACCCACAATCATCTATCGATTTCGCATTTGAACGACGGGCATTCAACCGGTCAGATTGACTAAATTCTAGTCGGTCAAAGGCCCCGTAGTCTGGTTTACGATAGCAGCTTGGTGTGTGGTGCCGAAACGGGCGATCGTCATGTATCGGACCATGTTCTCCTTCACATTCGCTTGATAGTTCCCTCTTAGTGCTAAAAATGTCACGTGCAAGACGCCTTTACGTCGCAAATGTCCGACGATCCAGCACCAGCCCCGCGACGACGACTCCTTCCGCCACCTCTGGAAAATCATGGCAGTCGGCTAGGGGCGACCGGAAGAAGTGTTCAGCTGAAACAGCAGCCCCCGCGGAAGAGGCCGAGAACGATAATTAGCAAGTAATCTGCCAGCTGAGGTAAGCCCTAGACACTTAGCGACTGCTCGCGATACAGATGGCAGCCTTATTGCTCGCAACCCGGTCATGGCCAATCGGAGGTGTAAGCACTTCGAGCATCTTCTTAACTCCGATTACCAGCCCACCACGCCCTCGCTGTATTCTGCAGAGGCATCTTACACTATTCTAACCTCTGTAATGCCTCCTGATCCCATTCTGAGAAATCGCTCATGCAATACAAACGCTGAGCAACAAGGCATAGCATTTCCACCAGATTCTACGAGCTTTGTGTCAACACACTGACCCCCTGGCTCCATGAAGTGGTTGCGCAGGTGTAGAGATGAGGCCGTCGCTGATAACTTGGGCTCGGACATCCTTGTGCCTGTCTTCATGGAAGACAAGGTGCGAGAACTACCTCGTCACAGACCTCAGCGACTTTGCTGTGAAATTCTTCAGCGTCATCTTTCCCAGGCGATTTCAGGATGTGCGTGGCCCCAGGACGAGACTCAACCAGGCAGGACTTTGTGCTGACCGAAGACACGCGAACCATGTATTCATGTTGAAGCGAACTCCTGAATTCCGTCATTGTTATCGATAACCGGCGGTCGGCAGTCTTGTTAACTTCTGCTGCGCCTGACCCGCCCATAACGAGTTCACATGGCGGATGATGGGACTAGAACGGTGTGTCGGTCAAACCCATCGCCGTAAGGCCTACTATAGCTCCAAAACTGCTCAAACCTTGACCCTTAGGTCTGACCCAACCGTTTGATATACGGCCCAACGTCCGAGGTTGCATCCTGTCCGCCATCCAGCCCACCTACGTCATTGGCTGGGTTCTCGGGAGGATTTTGGTGGTGCAGTCTGCATCCGGACGCTGCCTGATTGGTATTCACTATGCTAGTTCCAGGCTTTGGGGACCTACGGTCTGGGGTGCGGGTTAGTGAGTTCGAGAATTCAGTCGGTCCATCCATAACCGCTGAGGCTGTCTTCGAGTCACATCCGCGACCAAGACGAATTTCTCGGGCTTACTGAATGTCAAACTGAGTAAGAGTTCCAAACACTTTGGAACAAGACGGCCGGGAGTGGGATACTATTTCCCGCACCGACGCCGTTCGCCGGGCTTCCTCAAGCCCTAGAAAATCTCTCTGATCCCGACGCGTCGTTCCCATCCTCCTAAAGGTGCACGTGCACCGCGCACCCGTCCGTCCAGGCCTTTTCTGCGACTGGATGCTGGGCAGTCCGCGTAGAGGATGAGTAAAGACTAGGAGTATATGGCCACCACTGTTTTGGAACCATCCTCAGATTTATGCACACCGGCTCCGACACTGTTCGTCAGGGTATGGCAGTTGCTCTTGGGTCCTCGGCACTCGATCTCCACTGCTGCAGATCGTCACGTGTGGAGGTACAGTATGTGACACCATGGAGACCGGCTGGATAAGGCCATATCATAGTCGTGCCAAGCTCGACATGCTTTCGGGGGCCAGCCTGGAAGCTGGCAGTGCTATCAGCTACCTGAACCCCTGTGACCATTCAACGTCAGAAGGCTTCAGTTCGGTAGTCTTACTGCCGGACGGCAAGTCCCCTGGCTTCCTCAAGGTAATATTCTCAAGTCGGCGGAGGCGCGGGTAATTGTCACTAGCACCCGATCTTGCTTTACGAGGCACCTGGGGTGTTAGCAAGAGTCAATCGCCCGACATCAGTGTGATCCCTTGATCACCTTGCCGAAATCGTAGACGCCTCACGAGAGGTCAAAGCAGTTCCACGAGTTTCGCCGTAGTCTGGGCATCAGTCGATCCCTCGGGATTTGAAATTTAACAGAAATTACGACTGCGCGAGTCAGTCCATCAGCCCGCGATGTGGTCATCCAGAAAAATGCGCTTTTACTAGACTAAAGCGGAAGCATCCCATATTTGCCAGAACCAAGAGTCCATGGGCGTTTCCACAGAGAAATTCACTTCCTCAAGCCAAAAACTTGTATTTCAAATATTCTAGGTACGGTTGTCCTGCATGTTCCTCACAAATTCCTTCTTCTTCGGGGGTATACGGACTCTACGATCTTTCTTGGCTCGACTTCTGAGGATCTTGCCGTGGATAGCGCAGCTGACGCAGTACTGCAGCTTCACAAACAGTTTCGGAAGACTGTAGCCTAAAAGCAAAATTAAAGGTTTTATATTTTTAGATGCAGAACGGGTAAGAAGTGCCAAATCAAACAAGCGACCCCTTGGGAAACTAGACAAGGCATTAGGCTGTGACACGTCATGTAGACTCGCGAACCCTTGCAATCAGACACTCGATACAGCGTTGACTGGCAGCAGCTAACAGGCCTGAGGCCAGTCTAGGTTGTCATACCCAGTATAAAGGCCAGAGCTTTTAATTACTCGGTGTCCACCACAGAATATCCTGTTGGCACGCATTAACGTAAAAGCTCAGAATGGTATCCAGAGAAAGGAAGTTACACGAGCAGGAGCAGGTGTTCAGTTAACTCGTGTCGTCAGATGGCACTCATCAGAGCACCTGCGGACTTCGATGTTGGAGATTGGGTGAATTCCAGTCAGCCACGACCGGAACTGTAATTTATCTCCCAAGAAAGAAGCTGCGAAAAGCCATAAAGTTTGTCGTTAGCGTGCAGGTAGGAAGGCACAAGCTAACATCACTTTCGGAGACTGGGTGAGCCTATACCAAGCACGGGTGAGGCTGTAATAAGTCTCCACGTCCAGCATTCTCGTAATCCAGGATCTGATCATCCCAGAACTGCGCTTAGTCGGCAGTTCGCGCGAGCATATGCCATAAAATATCCTGTTGCCAGGCGTAAGGGCAAAAGTTTACAAAAATCTCCAGAGGAAACTACACGAGCAGGAGCAGGTGTTCAGTTAACTCGTGTCGTCAGATGGCACTGATCAGAGCACCTGTGGACTTTGGTATCGGAGATTGGGTGAATTCCAGTCTGCCACGACCGGAACTGTAATTTATCTCCGAAGATAAGTGCACCAAAAATCCATTGAGATTGTCGTTAGCGTGCAGTTTGGAAAGCACGAGCTAGCATCGCTTTCGGAGACTGGGTGAGCCCAGACCAGACATTGTCAAGGCTGTAATAAGTCTCCACGTCTTGCACTTTGGTAATCAGAACTGTGGTCAGTCGGCAGATTACGAGAGCGAATGACTAAGGACATGTGAGACGTCTGGGGTCCCTAAAATTGAGGAGCTGTCAAGCAGACGTGGTCGGTTTTTGACAAGTATTCTGCCGTTGAGAAGACCAAAGCAATAATAGGCGGCATCGGGTAAAAGGACTGCTCCCTGAATCCAGGTACGAATGTCGCACGCAATGAAAACGAGATTAGGTAGGCAAAGTGGCGAGGGGAATCTGCTAGTCAACAGCTCCCGACGCCATAACTCCGCCTGAAGCCAAGGCTTTTTACTCGAGATCAAACGCATTAGTAGCAGTGTTTTATCAGCAACGACTGATGACGAACATCTTACAGCCCGCTGATTGGCAGCCATGTCGAAATGCGCTTTCTAATGTGTAAGGCCCGTATCTGTACAGTCTTAAGCTTTACCGGACTGCTCAAAGCAAGGCTCTCGTTATGGGAGACATTGTGCGTTGCCATTCTGAGCATGGCAACGGTATTTTGGCTCCATCAGACCACGCGCACGGGCAGGAAACAAAGAAAGCTCGTAGTTCCAGCGACGTCGAGAGTAAATTGCAGCAGAAAGACACTATATTGTGGCCGAGCTTACCAGTGTACACTGAAGCCTCATTAAGATCCTTAACAGCGGCAGCTTCAGCGATGTTGCGGATCACGAACTTTGGCACGCACTTGTCCTTAGGGCACGCCCTTCCACAGTTGCTGCAGCGAATAAAGCGGACATGACCACGTCCCTTCTTCGAACGGCCATTATTCCTCCTTTTTTTCGTCTAAGAACGTTAAGCTGAGTCAAAAACAAGTACCATGTCCAACTGGTAGCGTGCAAACCGTAAAAGTGCGCACTCCCGGACTGGTCGGTTTAAACAACCGACTATATCAATGACGGACATACTGCCCAGGATTGTGGATGTTGACTCAAGTGTGTGAATATTTCAGAGTTCTTTTTAAGGAAGCTTGCAGGGTAAATATTTCGGTAGGAAAATATTGTCGAATTTACTAGTGCATTTCCACTGTGCTCTAAAGTTGTACGAAAAACCAGGTGGGCACTCAACCCTTCGTAGGTGCCGTGAAAGCTGATTAGGAGCGATGTGACCAAATCAATCACGTCCAGCTGAATCTAGTCAACACGTCCACTTTGACTGTACAAAACTGGACCCAAGTGAAACAAACCACTGCTTGTCCTGCCAAACCCTAGGGGCCGTGTGGGTTGTCAACGCGGTCGTCGATCAAACTAAGGACGAGATGTTTTCCACTGTGTCTCATTACATATGCAGAATGACGTTTTTGGCTTGCTTGTTTAAAATTTAGTATCCAGGTCACGGATTCTGGGGAGTTCACTTGTTCTGGGATTTAGGTCAACCAAGCATGCTTCCAGATCCCCGTTTATAAAAGTGGGATTTCAATCAGCAATATCCTCTTCCTAACAAATATGCAATGAGATGTCAACAGAAATACTAGATTCCATTCTGACAGCATTCTTATCAACCGCACTGTTGGGACTCGTAAATTACGAAAAAGTCTTAGAAAGTGCGAAACCATGCGTTAATTGCGCCACAACAAACTTCCCTAAATCAGAAGACAACGATAGCGGGAATGATCATAAGATAATATCTCCATAAATAAATGAGGCACAGGGCTCCTGAGGAGGTGCAGTTAATGCGTCGTCATAAACAGCGCGTCTGAGTTTACTTCCAACACCCCAAGGGACAGGAAACACTGTGATTTGGAACTTTTTTTCGCAATATCTACAAATTCCTTTAAAGGACAAGAAATTAGACACTTTGAAGGTCCTCGAGATGTGCCAAACAAAAGACTCTAAAGGTGAGTTGGGCCGACCCAGAACCACTTAAATATATTTTTGATGGTGAAATGCAAATGCCACTGCTGCTGTGCAGTAAAAACCGAACTTCGCAATGCTCGCTGAGCAATTTTCAGGGGGCTTTATCACCCCCTAAGAGCGACAAATGAAGGAGGTGGAAGCGCAAGTCCCCAGGGGATGTGGACTGGGCAACATCAATCTCAAAATACTGAACTGAGGCAGAGTACGTGTCCAGATGCCATTTCTAGGGCGAACGCCTATAACCCTAATCATTTAGCCGCGCGGACACCAATCGGTCCCGATTAGCACCGTCAGGCTTTTGCATTCAGTCCCACAAAATGGGTAAATGCCTGTATCTTGGAGTTACTCAGGCCAAATTGAGGCTTTTTTGCATTAGTGCTCAAAGTCTCATTTCAAAAATCGACGGACCCATAGTGCTAGAACGTAACCGGTTGTCATTGCCATGCAGGAAACGCGGCTCAAAGCTGAAACCACAGATATGGAAATTTTATACGGGAATACTCGCATTTTCACCGAGGCCATATAATTGGAAGGGTGTTGGTAATCGTATATGTGAGATCAGGGATTTCGACAGTTTGACTTTGAAAACTGACTGCGGCTTGAATAAGGATCGGTATGTGTAAATATGAAGAGGGGTACTTGTTAAAACCTAAATTTCCAGGCGGTTTGCGTACCACTAAACCACCTGAGTATATATGGTATTTCCCTGCTCCACATGGGCGAGAAAGCGGCTGACCAACAAAGTTTCTTGTTGCTGAAAATTTCAATGAGTGTGAAATAGACGGAGTTAATCTGGTGAACCATGATGCGCCTAATTACTTGAATTTCAATCTAAGAGACCTAACGGCTGACTTGCTCCTGGTTCAGGCTATAAATACATCAAGGAGACTTAGAGAGAACTAGAGGGCTAAGTGCGTTAACCTAATTTAATGAAGGACTACTCTAGCATAAACGAAGTTCGTTCTAGTGTAGCTCTCGGTAAGATTTGCTATATCACGATCCTTCGGGACTATTCGCTCTTTTCTCAGCGACAACACATGGTAGAAGATTAACAGAATAGATGAGAGGCAGATTTCAACATGGTGAGGAACAAAGTGATGTCCACGAACTGCAAGTGTTTGTCATGGGGGATGCAGCGAAAGACTGAAGATCGTTTTAAACGATTTCATTTGATCTAATTGATTCCTGTTGTTTAATTGCGATAATGGAAACGACTAGTCCTTCTATATGATTAGCAAGAGGTCCTAGCAGATCATTAAGGAAGACTGCGTTATCGTTGTTTTTGCGAAACGTCTTCAAATCTTCTTCTTTCAAACTCTTTCTTTCAAGCTCTTGATCTATATCCACCTTTTTACCTGCTCGTCCAGGTAACTATGACCAGCCATCAGGGAAACACAAATGAATGATGCGATCGGAACTGTGAGAATGTCTAAAGACTGTCAACCGTTGCAGCAATCCAAGGCATTGAGGATGGCACGCATAGAATAACTTGAAGCACTGTGAATGATTCCTGTTATAGAAGGGGCTTGAGGGAGTTGTTAGGCACGTTGTTGTACTCATCCAGACAAAAAGGTAGAAGAAAAATCCAGCGAGCAAAAAAGTACCGTGGGAACGGGTGGGGATTTTACACAAGAAAGGATGAGTTTAGTCAAGGAGGTGATCCATCTAGATGAATAGGTGAAGCCGACATGCCTGCTAGACTATTTGTGGGAAATTCGGCGCTGCGGGCAACTTCGAGGAATGCGCTGACGTAGGGTAAGAGGGGCAAGTGTTACGACAAAAGTTGCGAGCGGGAAGTCGGCATTTGTGCGAGGAAGGGGCACCGGTTATTTTCACCGACACGCGACCGCATTACCACCACGCTGGCTTTGCTTCACGTGATTACCTGTAAACTGGCATTTAATAAATTAAATTAAATTAAATAAAACTCTGTCCAGTTTGTCGGAAGTTACGCAGGTAACTAGCAGACATCCAATCTGATCAACCCGCAGTTAATTCAACCTCTGACCGAAATCAAAGTTCCCCAAATTTCACGAAGGGCGAAATATTCTAGACCTCGAAAATAACCAAAAACCAAACGTAAATGTTTTACCCGCATTCTTCTTTTTTCTAGCCTTCACTATAATTATGCCTTGGAATCCACGTTTTTTAACTCAAAGAACTCCTTACTCACGCTCGATGTCCTCACTGTCTACCGACCACCTAGGACAGACCAAACAGTCGACACTCAACTATTGGAGCAGTTGGAGAAATTTACCAGTCGACCTAACATCATGATCATTGGCGACTTCAACGCACCAGGAACAAACTGGAATACCCTCCAAGCGTCAGGTCCAAAATCGGGATTTGATTACCGTCTGCCGAACAAAACATTAAAGGCGTCCCTCACACAACATGTGATGTTCCCAACGAGAACACGTGAAGGGCAAAGGGCAAACTGCCTGGATCTGGTTTTTACGAAAACACCAGACAGCATAGACGAGATCACCTCCATGACGCCCCTTGGCCGAAGTGACCACGTAGTGCTTATGTGGGATTTTTCGTTATTCTCCATTTCACATATTCCAGACCACCAAAAGCGTAATGTTTGGCGGAGCGACTTCAATCAGATGAGGGCAGGGTTATCCGGTCTCGACTGGGGGTCATTGTTTACGGGAAATGCCAACGATGACTGGGAGCTGTTCAAGAATGTCCTTCTGCAGCTCATCAACAACCACTGCCCACTGACTAGTGCAAGACTGAACAAACGTCCTGGGTGGCTAAATAGCAACTTTAAGAAAGAAATCAACAGGAAGCACAAATTGTGGAGAACATACTGCGTCGCTAGGCAAGTTGAATATTTCAACACCTAAAGGACACAAAGGAACAACCTGAGGAACCTGATCATGAAGACGCGGCGGGAATTCGAGAAGAACTTGCTACAAAAAAACAACGCAGAACTCAAAATTACTCTACAGTTGCCTCCGACGAACTACAAGGAACAGGCATCAAATCCCCTTGATAAAGACTACTGATGGCGTTGAGATCGCTGATAGTAGGGATAAAGCTGCGTATTTTTCACGGTTTTTCCAATCAGTCTATACAAACGAGGCAAGGTTCCTTCCTCCCTCCACAGAAGAACTGCCGACTCCAAGCGTCAGTGATATACTCTTCTCAGAAGGCATTGTCCGAAGAGAATTAGAGGCATTGAACGAATCGAAGTCGCCAGGACCAGACGAGATTCCATCCAAGCTTCTGAAGGAACTTGCCCGTGAGCTCTCTGTGCCTTTGTCGATGCTCTTTCAAACGTCATTTGACACTGGAACACTTCCTGTCGATTGGAAGCTGGCGCATATTACTCCGCTACACAAAGGAGGTAACAGGGCAGCGACGACAAATTGCAGGCCCATAAGCTTGACAAACATTCTCTGCAAAGTTATGGAAAGGATCATAAAGAGTGAACTGATGCAATTCCTTGAAGTTCACGGCCTGCTATCGAAATGCCAAAATGAGTTCCGGAAAGGAAGATCCTGCACGAAAAACTTGCTGCAATCTCTGCAGAGCTGGACCCCAGCTCTCGACGACAGGCACGCGGTCCACATAGCCTTTATCGACTTCCAGAAGGCTTTCAACACTGTGCCACACCAGAGGCTCTTACATAAACTAGAAAATAGGAATCAGTGACAACTTCCTTAAATGGCCTGAAAACCTCCTTTTGGGTCGACACCAGGTTGTGTGCATCGGTCGGGGGAAATCTGATCCTGCTATGGTCGAGAGTGGTGTCCCACAGGGTTCAGTACTTGGACCCATTTTGTTCCTTTTATACGTGGACGATGCCGCAAGAGCTTTAGACTGCGAAGTAGCAATGTTTGCCAATGACCTAAAGACATGGAGTGTAATTCAGTGATACTGCCGACGAAGATAGACTACAGGTGAACCTAAATCGGACAGAGGAGAGGTAAAACCGTTGCCTTCTGCGGTTCAACG